ACACAAATAGGAGACTACCAAAAAAAAAAAAAAAGCCTTAAGCCTGCAGAGGATAAAGAGAATAGGCTATAATTCTCACTTCTTCACCTCAATTCCCCTAGAGAAATTATGGAAGGATGTCCAGTGTAAGGAAAGAGGTATAGGATTCATATATAATAGAAACTTGTATAATATCCAATACTGTAAGAATTTAACATTAAGTTTTCATTGTCCTAATATAGATCCATGAGGCAGATTCCTTGCATATCCCACAATATAGGGGTGTGGTATTACAGCTTTAAGAGGAGAAAATAAGGAGTACTTTGCCTTCAGGTCTCAAATTCAAGAGCACCAAAATAAAACTCATTGTTGATTTGCTTAGTTTTTAATTCAATTCCACATCAAAACTGAAATGTTCCTAATTTGAAATGCCAAAGTAAACTGGTTTTGCATTTAAGTTCCTGTCTTTGGAAATTATTAGTCTGCAAGAAATAATTTACTACTTTTCTTCTAGTTCAAGAAGAAGTGCAGTAATGTTTGAATTTAGCTTAACATGAAAATTTTCATTCTTGTTCAGCCTTTTTATGTAATTTAATTCTGAAAGTGTTTGGATTGAAACAATGGATATTCAAAAGACCAAATTCTTTCTGCAGTGCACAGTCCTCTAGGGGTTTTCCTTCTGATGGTTATCAGTGATCTTTTTCAGTTACACAGTATATAAACAAAAGAAGGAGCTATATTGTGCTAAATCAGATGTCCTTCTTATCCAGTATCCTGCCTCTGACAGTGGCCATTAGTGGATGCCTAGGAAACAGTGTAAGAATGGAGGAAGCACACAGCTTCCAACAAAACATTACCTAGAAACTTCCTGTGCCAGGCCATTATATGTATTTTACTCTTTTTTATGTGTTGGCTACTGTTCTGTACCAGAACTTTTGTCCTGTTTAGAGTCATTTAAAGCATTGCCTGAATAATCTTTTCAGAAGCTTTTTAGAAACCTGAATACAATATATCCAGTCTCCCTGTGCAAGTGCTTATTTTTGAGTTCAAAAAATCTCAGACTATGTATGTAAAATCTGATTTCACTTTGCAAAAAGCTAGTTTTCTTTCTCTATTACATTATATTTTGTTCTTGCACCTACATCTGTTTCTCAATATAGTTTCTTCCACTTTGCCTGGTAGGGAAGACATCCTGACTGATCTTTGGCTTGTGTCAGGAGTTAATTTTAAAAAGCAGTGTGACATATATGATCCTAACGTCATACTGTGCACCTAACTGGAGAAAGCGTCAACACTATTTATTCAGTGCAAACTCCTAAATTGATAATGCCATTACAGGAATTAGGGCAAGGGGAATGGTTTGTTTGGGGTGAGTTATTTCTGGGGTTTGTGGCAGGCAGAGACAGGACCAGCAAGGGATAGCAGATGAAATAGGAACCAAATGCAAATTTTGCTTGAATGTCTGCTGCAGCACTGTGTGTGCTCTGTCATGTCAAATGAAATAAGCTTATTTCCTCATGTTATACAACATTAGAGGAAGCATTCATGTTAAAAAAATCCACTTCAGTATTTAGAATTAGATAATTCTGGGTTTTAATACTGTGTAATATTTGAAGTCTTAATATAAACATATTCAGATGATCAGCCATTTATATTTCATGGGGGGAAAATTGTTCATAGATGAGAACACAGAAACCCGTCATGTCTTCCTCTCCTTAAGATCATAACCTGGTAGAGCCTACAGAATTATTTCTTTAGCATTCTTCCTCTTTTTTTTAATTCTTTTTTTTTGTCTGTGAAAAAATAAATCCTTCTAGTATAGTTATGAGCACAAAAAATTTGAAGCTTAGAACTTTAGTAGCATGTATTTCCTAGGTAGCTTAAGACAAGGAAATTGTGATGAAAACTCTTTTCCTTTTCTATTATTCAGCTGATACCTATTCCTAAATGTATTTTACTGTAACTTGGATAATTGTTTCTCCTTAAACACTAACTAGTTTTTTTATTTCACATGTGTTACTGAAGAAAACATTTGCAACATCATCGTAAAGATAGGTTGAAATTATAATAGGGAACAGAGTCTGTAAAAGGTTTCGCTAAAGCAGAAACCATTTCTGGATTAAGTTAAAACACCAAGGCCAGGTTGGATGAGGCCTTGAGCAACCTGGTCTGGCAAAAGGTACCCCTGCCCATGGCAGGGGGACTGGAAGAAAATGGTCTTTTAAGGTTTCTTCCAATCCAAATTATTCTGTGGTTCTGTGAAAATGCAACTGAAATTAAATGCGTGAATGTACCTTAAAACTTGCTTTGCTATAGCTCAGTCTGTAGTGCCCCCTGGTGATGGTAGAAATATTTCTCAGCTATTGCTTCCCTGGGAGATGAAAGCCATGCAAAAATAAGGACATTTTCCGTAACCAGAAGGGCTAAAATATGCATGTTTTATTAATTTTAGAGTTTGTTATAGGTTTTATGTGCAGAACAATGTGTAAGCTGTAGGCTTTTATCATAGCAACTTTGTATGCCTTAAGTGTTTAGAGACTATTTGTGGTGTACTTAGATTTTTTTTTTTATTATTTGTGAGTGTTCAGTTGGAATGATCTCTGTTCATATTTGTAATTTGGTGCAATAATTCCTGCTAGAATTAGCTCTGGTTTTGCCTTAATTAGACTAGTTTCCATTTTTTACTATTTAATTTCTCCCATGTCTGGTTTAAGTTGTTTCAGTAAAATTGCATGGAGAAAGCTACATGTTGTTCATCATTTCTTGTCTTTAAACACTTCCATGCCAGTATTTTTGTCTTACTACATTACTGTACTGTCTTTTTGTAGAAGGGTTTGTGTTCATTTCTGAAAATGAGCAATGTTTGGATAGTGTGTGGGTTGAGAAATACAGGGAAAATAATTGAAGAAAACATCTTGTGGACACACCTGCACTATCTCTGTACCTTTCACAGGAAGACAGCAGAGAATAAATATTTTCGAGTTTACATGTTTATGTGCTTTTTGCAGGTGTATGATGATGGAAAATATGTGTATGTAGTAACAGAACTTATGAAAGGAGGAGAGCTGCTGGATAAAATTCTCAGGCAAAAGTTTTTCTCAGAACGAGAAGCTAGTGCTGTTCTGTTCACAATAACAAAAACAGTTGAATATCTCCATGCACAAGGGGTAAGTTTTCATCTCAGACAAAATGTTTATAGTTGTTAATAGTCTTCTCTTTCAGAAGCATAAACTCAGGTCTTGATACATTCTACTCTGTGGTAATTTTTGGTAAACAATTACATTGCAGCAAGAATTTGTGTTGAAATCAAAACATTCCTTATCAGCTGTGTGTGTGTCCAGATAACAGATGATGCAACTGTTAGTTGTTATTCATGCAATCTGTCAGCAATTCTATGAAATATGTAGGTAATGACTGAGAGAATATGAGAAGAGGAAAGTCCAGGAAGAAGTGCTAGGACAAGTGCTGTTGCTTAGCCATGGGACCTAATGTAATTCCAGTCTCATCCTGTGATAGACCCTGAAAATTTATTTTCCACCTATCACACTTGTAATTTCTTTCCCTTCTTGTTTTTGAGGAACTTGGTTTATGAATTGTAACTCCTCTGCCGTAGGGTCAGGAAGTTGTATCAGACTCTTAGGAGACAGAAAATTAACACCTTGGGGGGTTCATTTGGAGGCAGAGGAAGTAATTAAAGTCTAGAGAAGGCCACTGTGACAACTGCATGGCAAGAATGACCAGTTGTGTTGCATTTTTAAGTAAACAAGAAAAAAGGGGATAGAGAAAAAGCAGAAAGTAAGGATGCAAGGAAAAACTCCAGCTGCTAATACATGATGTTACTACTCAAGAACAGATGCTTTGGAATGCACAGTACAAGTGACAATTCAGCACACACTGTCATTTCTGGAAGCTGTTATTTCAGGAAACTTACGTGATACGTGAATCCATGTGAATTATAAACAAGCCTTGATACTTTCTGTATGTGGAAATACAGCTACTAGAATAACACCAATCAAAGCTTGGTTCATTCTTGCCATGTGTGGCCAAAACAGGCCCAGTGTCCTTGCTTCAGCTAAGGGATTTTAGAGGCCTTTGTTTCTTTACTGTTAGTCTCTGTAAATATTGGCATTTTAACTTCTGTCCGATCACATGGACTTTGGAACTTTTCGCTTTTGGAAATTTTCAGATCTTATATTAAGTACACCTCCCCGTGAAACATGGGCATGTGTGTAAATAGTGAGCACTTCAGTGGTCTGATTTTTGTCTGGAAGTGTCCTCCCTATTGTCAGTGGATTTTCCTGTTGTAACTCCTTTGGATACTGGGGGAGTTCATTTGAATATCATATTAGCTAATATCTGGTTTGACAGACTCTAAATCTGTGTGCAGTCTCCACAACCCTTCCCAGAAGGAGTTTCTTCACGGACATTTATAGAATGCTTTTGAACTGAAAAATTATCTAAAGCAAGGAATGAAATCCTCCTTTTCGGGCTTAGCAGTACTTGCAACTCTCACCCAAAGCATTCTAAGAGTATTAGGGCCAGGTTAGCGCAATTAAGGATTGGCCCAATAGGCATCATAAAAAGGATAAACAAAAGGTATCTTGTCATCTTGGAGCAGCAAACTTGTGCATGTTGGTGTATAATTGAGACTGCTCATCAAAAATGTGATGCTAAGAAATAAAGAAGTGAAAGGCCCTGCATATTGTTTTACTCTCTTCTGTGGCTCTAAAATAAAATGTTTTTTCTTTACAAAATACCAGTGTAATACAAACAATCTGACATATTTTCCAGAAGTTTATATTTCTAAAACTTTTCAAAATTTACCTCTGGGAAAACAGCTTAATATAGGAAGGTATTTTATTTATTCTTTGATATAAACATTTTGATTGCTTGGGAAGTAGCGTTTGAATTTGAACTCAAATGTTACACTTAGTCTTCCTGCTACTTGAGAATTCACTTCCCCTTCTTCCAAAAAAAGCACATGACTCAAGCAGACTGGTTCTCAAAACTGCCAAATCCCCAGCTCCATGCTGTTTCTCTTGCCCACTTCTTCCTTACTCCTCTTAGAATCTATTTCAAATCTTAGAATCTGTTAGAATCCTTCCTCTTAGATTCTGTTTCGAAAAACCCCAAAATATCACCTAGAATTCAACTGTGGGGTCCTCTTGGAGCAGTAAAGGATGCTTCTCTCATTACTTAGAGATAAAGGATTCTAATCTGGGTAAACACCAAAAAACAAGGGCTATGAGGAACTGATTCTCTCATACACTAAGGCCAGGATGTTCCCCATAACATCTGCTGTTCCAAGTCAAACTCTTTAATAGCATTTGTATATTTCAGCTTAAGAGGTGCTTATTTCCATAATTTTAAGTATTTGTTTTGTTAAGTCTGAGAATTGCAAAGTATTTGCATGCTGAAAAGGTCTCTACTAAATAGACTTAATGGTCTGTTTTGGTTTTGGTTTGTTTTTTTTTTTAGGTTGTTCATAGAGACCTGAAGCCTAGCAATATTCTTTATGTTGATGAATCTGGTAATCCAGAATCAATCCGAATTTGTGATTTTGGCTTTGCAAAACAACTGCGGGCGGAAAACGGTCTTCTGATGACTCCATGTTACACAGCAAACTTTGTTGCACCAGAGGTAAAAACCAGGATAGCTTATATGCCTTGATTGAATGAGATGTTTTTGCTAGTTGTTTTGTTTATTCTTGCATAACAAATGGAATCACTTTGTAAACACGAAAAATTCGAAATCTTACTATTCTTATGGCATAATCAAAGCATTTATAAGCAGGGCTTTTTTCAGAAAAAAATATTTGTCTCCCTCAGGTTTTAAAGAGGCAAGGTTATGATGCTGCATGTGACATATGGAGCCTTGGTGTTCTACTTTATACCATGCTTACCGGGTAAGGGTAATTTTAATTTGCTTTGCTGTAGATTAGCAAATCAATATAAACAAAAAGAATAATAAATACAGGGCCACTTTTACAGAGGATTTTATTGAAGCAGTGATTAATCTCAGCTTTGGCTTCCGTGGGGTTAGAATATCTTTTGCCTTTAGTATAATCCAAGTTTGGGAAAGTTCTTTGATTTTAATGTTCCATCTATTTTAGTTTCTGCTTAAAGGTGATTTCTGACTAAGAATTTGTTTCATGTGAAAATTAGATGATTAAGCAGCATACATGTTGAAGAAAATATATGTTGCAAATACAATTGCAATGCATAAAAGCATGATGGTGTGCAAAATTCAGCCACTGAATAGTTTGAAGTGATGCAGTTAGGATATATGTGCAATAGAAATGCATTTGTATATGCAACAGACATGAATTGTAGAAAAGAGTGGGAATTTAGATTAGATATTAGGAAGAAATTTTTTACTGTCAGGGTGGTGAGACACTGGCTCAGGTTGCCCAGGGAGGTTGTGGCTGCCCCAACCCTGGCAGTGTTCAAGGCCAGGCTGGATAAGGCCTTGAGCAACCTGCTCTGGTGGGGGGGTGTCCCTGCCCTGGGCAGGGGCTTGTGACTTGATGATCTGTAAAGTCCATTCCAACCCCTTAACATTCTATGATTCTATGAAAAGATGATGAGTAATAAATCAATTCAACTATAGTACCACAAGTTCAAAAGACAGTTGCTATTGCATCTGCCAAGTAGATTATATTTTTATGCTGGGTTATTCAGGCTGCCACTTTGGTTAACAGTGAACATAATCAGAGATATTTTTACATTTTAAAATAAAGAAGTGACAAACATATTTGTTTTTAACTATCTCTCTCTTTTGGTTGGGGACATTCTGGTAGCAGCAAGAAGGCATATAGTAAAGCAAGTAAAATTGCTGCAACTTTTTCCCTCTAGTATCAAAACAGCATTTATTCTGTTTCAGACTGTTGGAGTGGGATCCGGACCTGGAGTAACGATGAGTCTCAATATGAGTATGGTCGTTCTCCTTTATTCTTAGTGCTTACAAGATATATATAGACATTCACACAGAGTACGTGAATGGCAGCGGATACATGATTGGTTTATTGCCCTTGTCCAAGTGTCCAGGGCAAACTTATGATTAGAGCAAGCAGGTGTCTGTCCACATTCCAGGATGTTCTCAGGAATTCCAGGCAGCTTGTTGACACCGGACTCAGAGCCGGTCAGAGCCAGCTCTGCCAGGCAGAGTTTGCTCCTTATCAGCAGTTCAAGGCTAAGTCACAGCTGCTGTAGGCCTCACACCACACTACAAGCTGGGTTGTCAGCTTCAAGGAAATCATGTCCCTTTTCGCAGAGCCATTCCTCCACATCAGACTCATCATAAAGTCTTCACAGTTAGTTTTATAACAGATTGTTTTATCACTTCACTAGAATGTGAAGGCTTCAGGAATACTTTATGTAATTCAGGAACCACCACAGGAAAGAAATCTGCTTTTCAGACCTGATACAAATGGAATATATGCAGTAAGAAAAGATCTGTAGTCAGTGCCATGTATTTTCACATTAAGAATGCTTTCTTTTTACAACAGTTTGATTATCTCTTTCCCATAATTATGTTGAACTTGCTGAATCTTGTAACCAGATTTATAATACCTTTTGAGGTCCAGGTTATGGAAGTTAATAACATTGAAATTGTTTGGTTAAATAGCTACACTCCATTTGCAAATGGTCCTGATGACACCCCAGAGGAGATTTTGGCCCGAATAGGGAGTGGAAAGTTCTCGCTCAGCGGTGGTTATTGGAATACTGTTTCAGACACAGCTAAGGCAAGTGCATCTGCTTTGTCCTTTGGGGGGTCAGAAATGGATTGCAAAGTAACATGTTGCTTCAGATGTATATGTTATATCACATAAGATTGGGTAAGTTCCATCCATTGTTATTTTAAAATACTGAGCTAATCTCTTACGTGCCTAGAATTTCGTTCTCTATTTTTGATCCTTTCATGTTTCAACAGTCACTTGCATGTAGGAGGGAAAACAGGTGTGCCTTACACTGTAGTGGTTAACAGCTGTCCTTAGAAATAAAGTGTATTTATCAGTATTCACACACATGCAACATTATCCATGGTGAGAAATGCTTTAATAAAACTTCTTGTGGAAGCATGACATTGAAAAATCATACAGACAGTCTAAATCAGGATAATGAAAGCCACACTTTTTTTTTACTGCATTTGTAGAAACTTAAAATTTTAGACAACTCTTTTTTGAATACATTTTTACAGCAAATAGACTCTAAACTTCAGTGTGCTATTCATATCCTTTATGCCCCTTCTGTGTAGCTACTTAAAGTGCTAAAGTTTTCCTCACTTAATTGGATACCATCCTGTTGTGTTACCAAATGATAATTAAGTCCCATAATTAAAAGATACACTGTTAGCATTGTGAGGTGGTTTTTCATTTGTTTTAAACAGACCTTATGAACATACTTTATACCTCTGAAATCTTCAGATTTGAACTACAACCTATTTTAAAGCTGACGTTTTACTGTTACTTGTATTGGCCCTTTGTATATCATTGACAGGACCTTGTTTCAAAAATGCTTCATGTTGACCCTCATCAAAGACTGACTGCAGCCCAAGTTCTTAGTCACCCCTGGATAGTTCACTGTGACCAGTTGCCTCAATACCAGCTGAACAGGCAGGATGCTCCCCATTTAGTGAAGGTAAGTAGATATTTGTTCAGCTTGCTGTTTAGCCAAAATTAGTGTCAACAAAAGGGATTGGTTTTGTTTTTAAAATTAGTGTAGCATGTGTTTCCTCTAAATACTATTTAAAAGTTGTTATGACTGGAAGTTGCACTAAGCTATAAAATGAACTTGTAATACATAACAGGATTTAATGAAAAACCACTTATAGGGAGTAAATCTGATACATTTGAAAAAAAATCATTTTCTTAGGCTTGAAATCTATTGGACTTACACTGGGAGGCTTCAGTGCTTTCAGAAACCAGCATAAAGAAATCATTCTTCTGATAGTGAAAATTGTTGTCAGGTGACTATAGGGGAGCTAAAAAATAGTTTGGCTAATTTAACGGTTCCACAGGAGGGTAATTAAAAGTAACTAAAAGAGAACAGTATACTTTGTGATTACAGGAAAAGCTAAAGACAAGTCAAAAAGGCAGTGTTAATTAGCATGGTATCATACTCTTCTGCATACTGGTTTTGTCTGAAACAAGATCTGGTTTTGACCCTGAAACATCTTCACTTTGAAGAAGCAGAGGAAAATAACAAATAATTGAATTCTACTTCTCTGTATTCCACCCTGCTTTCAGTCCTACATTCAAGAATCTCTTGTGCAACATAAAAGGGATCTGAAGAATATAATTAACACTCTGAGTCAGCTATTAGAAATTTCTAGCATCCAAAAACACAAGTGGAAAGTGGGGGAAGTTCTGATCCCACGACTCACAACTTTCTAACTCTCTTATTTTAATAAATCTTCATGTGCTGAATAATGTGCGTGATTTTTGACTACTTTGTTGGAAACTGAAATGGTTATATAATTGATAAGCAGAGACAGCCTATACCAATGGGATTTCATTCCCTGACTATCTCACGCAGCATGGAGAGAGAACTCAATTTAGCAATCTAGTTTATACCTTCTGGATTTAGCTTTTTAGGCAAGGTAAAACCATTTATTGCCCTAAAAACCACGTGTTCCTCACACTGCTGGTACTTGAGTGTTTCTGTTTTGTAGATGGAAATGGACTGAAAGTTAAAACTTGTTCAGAATCTCTGGCATTTAGCACTGTGTGGTCTGCAGTGTGTGCATCAGTCACAACATACTCTTACTGGTTTATTTCCTTCTACCCCTCAGGGTGCAATGGCAGCAACTTACTCTGCTTTGAATCGCAATCAGTCACCGGTTTTGGAGCCAGTTGGCCGTTCTACTCTTGCTCAGAGGAGAGGTATAAAAAAAATTACCTCAACAGCCCTGTGAAATGACCTCAACCAGATATTTGGTACCATGGCATAAGATGATAGCACAAATCATGGCGACAGGTAGCACATATCTGACAGATACCTGCAAGCACACTCTGTCCCAGCTGGTACCTATAATGCTGCTGCTCCTGCTGCTGCTACTGCTTTCATCTACTCTCGCTTTAAACTGTTGATGGCAAGTTACTGATCTTACTGGAGCTGCAAATGGAGTGACAAGTGGAAGCAATGAAAATCATCATGTTCACGATTGAAAAAAAACCAGAAGAAATGCCACCTCTGTCAAAAATACACTGAATAAAGCACTCTGCACCACATAGCATTATTTTTATAAGGAATATTTTTTTGTCCCCTAAAATATTCTTTGTTACAGGTAGAGATGGACAGTTTATGTTAAGCACTTAGCTTAAACAATCTGTTTATATTAGCACTATATACTTTGTGCCATCCAACATTTTGTATGTTTTTGTAAACAGTTCACAAGCAGTACATTTCCGTGCTGTTTTCTTTAATGTATACATGCCTTGTTTTACTTAGATATTATTAATCATTTTGGCAATTCAGTCTGATTAAACAGTTCACCTGGGTTAATCAGTATTGTTGGACAGCTCTAAAAGCCTGACTGTTAAACAGCTATTGAATGTAATACTATGAATAAGTAGTTCTCCTTGCCTATGTCTTTTCTACATTTCTGTGTTTTTGACACCGCATGTCATGTTATGAAAATCAGGATGATGTTTATAGTACTCAAAATGTAAACAGTGACTCTTTCACCATACTATATATACAATAGTTAATGTAACCCAGAGAAAAGATAACTTGCTCTGTATCTCGTTCTGTCTTTTGTTCCCCTTCCCCTCCCTTTTAATCTCTCGCATCTGATCTCTGGACTCAGGAATCATTGCTAAATACTTTCTGATAGAGAACATTTCTATATTGTTTATTCTTATAATCCATTGTTAATATTTTATCTCTATTCTATGTCTTGTGTTTAAGATGCAAAATTTGTTCAGTGAATGAATGTTGGCATTACAGAAGAAAAGCAACATTGAAGATAAAGCAAAACATGCTGTCCCCTAATAAGCAGAAACCTGCAAAAAGTAGGTTGAAACTGCATTCATTGCAGTTGCAAAACTGATGGATTTAATGTTCTGTCAGTTATTTTCTGATCATTTTAATTGACATCAAAATCAAAACAAGAGTCGAGTCATTATAATTTACCATGAAAAGAGCATTGTCCCAATCAGGTAAGATAAAGCTGTTCTGAGTGAGCATTCTCACTTCTCCAGCAAGTTCATAATGAGGATGAGAGACTCACTTGAAATACTATTATAAACTTCCAATACTCTTGTCCTCTCAGCGTCATAAGTAAAGGCACATCCTGATGGCTAGTCTTGAAAGATCAAATTGCCCATGTGAGAAGGAACACTGGACTGTGTTTGAATTCACTGAGTGTTCCACTCCAACAAAATTATATGCTATGTCAACTCCTTCCAGATTCCCAAATGGTTGTTGGGAATTCCAGCTTTAATAAAATATGGATCTGGGTGAATGGCTCTATGTGAACAATACAGTTTTAAAACTGAAAGGTGCAATTTTATGTTTTGCCTAAGAAGGTATTTTCTTGGTTTAGTGGTGTTAAATTTATTTTATGGTGATTAATTGGCTTGTTTCCTTGAAATCATCAGAGGTTTGTTGAAAGGGAGAATCATCCTTGTGATGATGAGTGTGAGTGTTCCTTCTTCCAGAATTTCTGAGTTCCTAGGGGAAGCTTCCTTTGTTAGACTTGCTAAGGATCCCACTTTTACTGCCCTTAAAAATCTGTTACATATTTAATCCATGATAAAATTGTGAAGGAATTGGTTTTATAAACAAGGATTCTTAAATTAGCATAGATCTCAGAATTCTGAACACAGCTCTTCCAAGCAATTCGTATTTTTCCCTTACTTGGTGCTCTAGCATTGAAGTTCCCTTTAGCTGTACAGATGCATCTACCCTTCCTTCAAGAAACATCTTTAACTAGAGGCAGAAAAAGGCCATCTTTTTTTTTTTTGACAGTGTCAGCAGTTCCAGAGGAACTCAGTAAAACCTTACCTTTCAGAAAAATGTATTTTGAGCTCTGTGAGCAATTGTCAGTCAGGCTTCTCAAAATCTAGAAACCATACCTTCTGGTGGCTTTTAAAGGTGTTAATCAGAAGATTGTCATATCTAGTCAACAAACAAGATTAAAACTGATACTGTTGAAATAAAGGGATGGCAGTACTTGCCAGTGTGTCGGTAATGGCATTTCAGTTCAGGAAGGAGTTTCTCCTATGTTCAGTGTGTGTATGTATAGGTACCTGGCAAAGAACAAACCAAAAAGGAATATTAAGCTGCCTCACTATTGGCAATATCCATGTTAAAATTAATATAAAAGTACTTTCAGTAGTTTTATTGTAGCCATATTTTGTTGCCCTCAAGCTTACTGATCATTAGCCAAATAGTGAAGCAAAGTTAACTTTTACATTTTATTTATCTGCATTCTCAAGTGAGCTGTTACTTTAGTCTAGACTTTTACAGATGTTGCTACTATGTCATGTATCTGGCAGCACAGGATGAACCTTTTAAATTGTGGCACAATGGGGCAGTTTAGCACACACTCACCTGAATGTGTTGAAGTTTAGATCCACTATATTTGTAATTTACTTTCTAAACCAAGGTATAAAGGGCTCTGCTTATGCAGGGAGGCTAGACATGGGTTTACGTACCTTACTTCCTAGTTTGGATCCATGTTCATAACTTTTGCATTTATTTTTATGGTTTTGTAACTGCAGTTGTTAGAACATACAAAGAAATCCACACAATACTCCTTTGAATCCCAGCACCTTCCTGTTAGAATGTGAGTATATGACACACTGTGTACATTCAGTGCTGGACTGCTGCTCGGTCTGCAGAGCATAGCAAGTGACTCTAAGATAGAGCCAGAAGAACTGCAGATACATGTGAGTTTTCTATATGTCAGCCATGGTTTGTTTGGGTTTTTTTAGTGTGAAATTACCATTTACTCTGCTTGAGAGCATGAGGGAATGGAGCGAAGAATGTAGTTGCAATACTCATTAAATGCCATTTACATCCAGTAATGGCAAAGTTCTGTACTCATAATCACTATAACATTGAATTGAAACAAGGAGTTTTTCAAGAAGATATTTAAAACATTTTTTCTAAAGAGACAAGGCCATAAGAAAATAGATTTATGTGTCTGGGATTTTTTTTGTGTGTTTTGCTTTTGTAAATGTGGTGTACCAACTAAAGCTGTGCTTTTCTATTATTGGAAGGAAAGGATTCAAAGTGTGCTGGCCCTTAGTAAGCAGCAATGGTTAATAGATGAATTTTCACTTATGAAAATGATGTAAATGGTTCGCTTTATCTTGATACTCTTGACCTAATCAAAGGGAAGATGTACTTATGAGGGATGTAATTATTTTGCAACCTAGTTGGGGGGGAAGTCTACTTAAGACGTTTTTAAAAAATGACAAAATCACAGATAAAATATTTTTCTACGATTCTATACAATCATACTTTATACTAGTTTTCTCAGCATGGCATGTAAGTGAGTCTAAGGTACTGTTCCAGGAAATCAGTGGTATTGTACCTTGTTCTAGACCATTACAACAGCATCTGTTAGATGCTTGGCACTGCTGTCATAGAACTGAAATGCTAGTAAAAAATTAAATAATTGTACTGAATACTTTAAATGATTGTTTTATTCAGTCTGATCTAGGAAATGTTCCAATCATGCTATTAATGTGTAATTCAAACTGTTCCAGATGTAACTATGAACAGTTCTGGAAAGTTATCATTGCTTGTTCTCCTGTCTAATGGCAGGTTTTGTAGTCTTCAAAAGAAATTGAAATTTCTACTATGAATAAACTTTCAAACATCTTAAAACTGCTGTTTTGTTTAATCATTTGTTCTGCTGAGTTATAGAAGTCATTGTTCATTCATCACTAACACTGAACTACCTTCACAGTACCCTGAGCGTGCACTGCCACCCAGAAAGGGTTTTTAATAAGCAGGTTTGTCAGTTAAAATGTTGTGATGTTACAGTGTGTTGAGTCAGGTAAACAGGCAGCCAAAGGAAAAACACTCATACTCGGCAGATGCTTGTAGATCTGATATATGATACAATATCCTTGCACTTCAGTCTTGTATTTTAATACCCTGTCCAGACTCCAGTCAGCTCTGAAGTACCACTTAAAGGGAGGATGTTAAATAATACTTGCAGTGCCTGCATTGCTCTGGACATTGAAAATACAGACATATTTGATAGTAAACAAACCTTTCAAACATTTGAAGAAGGAGAATATACACAGAAGTATGTATCTGTGGGACAGAAGTACTCCATAAACCACAGGCTCACATTTAAGCAGCTCACACAACTTGGAAGCTTATGGCTTGTAATTCCTTTTAGCCTTGCAGCCTGGAAAAGATGGAAGGTTTTCAAAAGTTTGCATAGTCCACATAAAATTACAGTAATTGTGACAGTGAATTTACGAGGAATGTAACCAGAAGTCTTGCCAAGTGTAGCAAAAGGAGGCGGCAGAGGACAGGCAGAGGGTGGGAGCCGCACAGCAGAGCGGGGCAGGAGGCAGCTGGGTGTCCTCGCTGGGCTGCGAGCTGCACCGCTCGCACGAGGCTTCACCCTGCCCGACTACAAACAGTTTAAAAGTAACCCACGAGCAAACTGGATCGTTTGTAAGCCCCGAGAAGCTGTGCAAAGGAAGAACGGGGCCGAGATAACACAAATCCTACTGCTACTGCGTTGCCTTACCGCAGCCTTGCTCACCTGCGCAGCCCGCATTCAGCGCTAGCAGCGCTCCCGGAGCGGGGCGCGGTGTCCCGGGG